CCCGGCCTCACGGGCACATCCGCAGAATTTGTTCCAGCCAAAAATGCTCAAAAGGAAGGACTGCAGAGGTTGACCTCAGCACCCTCCAGAATCTTATTTTCCAAATACATTTAGTGATAGAACAGGAAGCACAGGTGTTTCTAGAAGGACCCACGTTTCCAAAGCCCGGCTCAAGCTAAAGTCTTCAAATGAAAGCATCAGGTACAAGAAGAAATAAGATGCCCCCCGAGAAGGAGGGAGCACAAGCAGCATCCTTCAGGTGGTGTTACCTGTTCCGCACGGCAGCAGCCAGGACTCCTCGTGCGTGGCAGGAATGCATTAACCGTGAGTGTCAGAGAAACATCCCATTAGCTCCTGGTGTAACCAGATAAAGCCGCGAGCTGCCTCTCCCCACCACCGGGGAGACATTACCTTGACGCTCTAGAAAGCTCTGGTGCATTAATATTGCTGACGCCATGCCGGCAGCCTTTGCTTCGGCTGGGCCCCCGAGGGTGCCATGTGATGGATTCCAGTTTAACAGCTTTTAAAAACAAGCAGACAAGAGACAGGGGTGATGGATGATGTAGGAAGCATGCTTTTTCGGGGATGATTTATGGGGAGTCGCACGTTGCTGTTCACAGGGTCCATCGTGGAGGGTGGGGCCCTGGCCCAGCCCAGAGCCGCGCTTCTTGGGCAAGAAGAGTGAAACTTCCCCTGACCCCCTGCAGGTGTGGGAGCAGCCTCTGAGGGGCCAGAGGTCAGAGCAGAAGACCTCCTCTCTCTGCTCCAGAACAAAGGCGCTCCCCGGCCCTCAAAAACATCTGGAGAAGGAACAGCCAGCTGTGCCCTCTGCTTCATCAGAGTGACCCTGACGCACAGCCCATGGCATGGGCGGATTCTGACTGTTCAGTGAGAGTGGTGACCGGGAGGGGAGAGAGGAAAGGGAGGGTCGGGGACAGAAGAGCAGGTGGCGCCCGCCGTGATCTTTTGTCCCGCGAGCTGGCAGGCGGCCCCTTCCCCGTGGATCTGAAGCACCGATCTGCCCCAGGCCTCCGCCACCACATGTGAGAGACAAATCTCGTTTGCAACAGATTAATTTCCACCCACGTTTTTAATAAGGACTCAGAATTTACTATACGGTAAAATGCAAATCGAACCCGTATTTAAGGGATGAGCTTTAAAACGGGATCTAATTCATGGCACCCTTTCCAAGGCACAGGAAGTCAACTGGCAGTGGGGCAACAGCTGAGGAGGAAACAGCGTCCTCCCCTCCTCCTCTGAGCCCTCTGCCCCAGCAAGGACACCTCTGCAGTGACAGGGAGCTAAGGGAACGGAACAGCCCCACTCACCGGAGCAGAAGCTCCTGCAGGCTTCCCCCTGCAGCTTCTCCCTCACTGGTCCCCAAGCTCTCCTGGAAGCACTTCCTCCCAGGGACGTTCCACTGCGAGTGGGCAGCGGAAGGCATACACCTGCAGGAGCTCCGGGCACCCCAGTGTCGGCTGCTCTCCCCATCATCACCATCCCCCAATCCTCCATCCCCCAAGTCGGCTCTTCTCCAGAGTGCCTGCCAGCGGACGCCAAGCTGTGCTCCCACTGCTCATGATTAAGTCATGGGTGAGGGGCCTCCGAGAGGGGCAGCTGATAGGGATGTCTGCTGCCTCTCTGGTTTTCTTTGCAGACATCAGAGCCACACGCACTGGGGCACCCAGAGGGGGGGGTTGGCAGCCCCCTCTGAAGCCTGCATCTGAGTCCCATCAAGAAGAGCAGGGTCACCACCGCTGGGTGGGAGGGCATCTGCAGGGAGTCAGGAGCTGGCACACGGGACCGCCGATCAATATGCCCGGCCCTCTCCCTTCAGAGACCCGCCACCCGCCTGAAGTTGATTAAAAGGCGAAACACAGAGCCGGCTTCCTCTGCAGGCCTCAACCTGCTCAGGGCACCTGGGATGCCAGGGTCTTCCCTTGGATGCTTCTCTCCCCCTGACTTCGCCCCGCTGCGAGGAAGAAGACTCTCAGATGCGCATCGCTGCTGCACAATTTCAGAGCGCGCCTTCGGCACGGGCAAGGGGCCGGGCGGTGAGAGAGAGCCTGACAGAAGCAGCTCCAGATTGAAAGGTGTTTGCACAGCCACCCGCCAAGCCCCGAATTTCCCAGACCGCCATCAGGACTGGCCAGTCAGGTGCTTTGCGCTTTGACGATCTCGAGAATTTCTGTTTTTAGGAAGATGCTGGGTCTCAGACCCACAGAAAAGCGAGGCTGGGCCCTGCCACCTCCTGCAAGGAGGTACCAAGGAAAAGCATCTTCTGAGGGGTCACAGACGATCTTCTGTCACCTGCCTGCAGGACGTCAGCGCTCTGCTGCCCTTCCCCCGGGAGCAGAGCCACCTGCACGTGTTTGGAAGCAGGAGCCTGAGATGTAGGGGATGGTGCCTGGCCCCGGGTCACTTGGCCTGCACCGAGGTCAGCCCCAAACCATGCATCCAGCAAGGGTGCTTCCGACAGCCAACAAAGCTGGCCACCTGTGCACATGCAATAATAGGGGGCCAAGGGGGACCACACATGGCACCAGCTTTATGACAATGCTGTGGGTCCCTGGAGAGGAAGAATTCAGAAGGTCCTATGGGATCGAGACCTTCTGAATGGTCACTTGGCTTTTCCCTGCAGGCCCAGTGCAGTCTCGGGTGTATGGTCTTCCTTTCCAGGCTCCCTGACAGGTCCCCGATGGCTTAGGGAATGGGTGACCGTCATTTCAGTGTAGCAGGGAAGCTGTTTAAAACGCTCATCTCAAACATGTCCCCAGACAGACCCAACACTTTTCTCATCCCCGGTCCACGGCGCAGTCACCCCCCCCTCCCCCCCGCCAGGAGGAGCAGCCGCCTCCTCACCTGTCCCCCTGCTTCTGCCCCGACCTCCTTCCCCCCTCCATTCCCCACCCAGAAGACAACATTCTCTTCCTATCACTCGAATCAGGCCATTCAGTCTCTCACCCGGAGCCCTTCAGTGGCTCCCACCATCTTTAAGACAAAATCCAAAATCCTTACCCCTGGCCCGAAGGCTTCCGAATTGAGCCCCAACCCTCTCTGCCTCATCTCCTTCCACTCCCTGCTCACCCACTCGTCCCCGCAGACCAGGCTTCTCCTCCAGCAGGCCTGAGCATCACTGCCTCGGGGCCTGTGCACTGCTCCTGCCTCGGCCTGGACCGCTCCTCCCTCAGACCTCTGCCGGGTCGCCCTGGCTCCCCTCAGCCTCTGCTCACGACGTCTGCATCCAGGCCCTGCCCTGACCGCCCTGTGTGAACAGCAGCCGCCACACTCTTGATCACCTCTGCCCGCTTCCTTTTTCTTCATAGCCCCGTCAATCCCTGACGTTATCCTAAATGTGTTCTTTCACTCTCCACGTCTCCACTGGAATAGAAACACAACGAGGACAAGGACTTGGTTTGTCTCCATGGCATCTCCAGCACATGGGAGGTGCTCAAGTATGAATGAATGAATGCAGACCAGTCAGGGGCCCGATCAGCCCACTGCAGGAAGAGAAGGCTCACATGCCCCGGGGCCGAGACGAGAACCCACATCCGTCATCAAAAGAAAATTATCAGGGCGTACCTGGACCTGCACCAAGGTCATGTGTCAAATCTGATTCCTCAGATTCTACAATGGGCCTCTTAAAGAAGATAAGATGGGCTTCTTTTAAGGGACATTGAAGGGACCACTTGGTCTCTGCTCAGGATTCTTGTTGGCATCGTCCACTTGGCCCGGACAGGGGCCAGCACACAAGGCTCGGGTCTTCCCTGCCCTGCCTTGGACGACAGGGACCCATCAGCTTTGTGCTGCTTCTCAGCAGGGAGCAGGGCTGCATGGAACATGGAGCTCCATGGGGGTGCAACAAAGAATTGGTCTGGCTTTTGTCCCTGGTTCCCGGGAGGTCACCTCTAAAATGCTGGAATTCCCGAGGGACAGGAGTGTCTTTCATTATTCACAACAAGTCCCTTTTGACCACACCTGACCTTATCCTAACCAGGGGGCTAGCGGGGACACATAGGTGGTTCCAAAGGAGGGGCACTGATGAGAGGGTTGGAACTTCCCCCCACCTCAGGGGAGGGGAGAGAGGCTGCAGACTGAGTTCAGTCACGTGGCCAATGATGTCATAAGACCCCAGTAGCACTCTGGACACCCAAAGCTCTGGGGCTTTGTGGCTGGTGACCACGTGGACGTGCTGGGAGGGGGACCTGTCCCAACTCTCCAGGGAGAGGGTGTGGAGGCTCAGCATCTGGCACCCTCCCAACCTCACCCTGCGTGCATCCTTTATAACGAAACCTAACCGTCAGGAGAGTGCTTTCTCAAGTTCTGCAAGTCGTTTTAGCAAATCATTGCAACTGAGGGGGTTACGGGAGCCCCTGAATTTATCGCCGGTCGGTCAGAGGTGCAGGTGGTCCCTGAGACTTGCACCTGGAGTCGGAAGTGGGGTCAGTGTCGTGGGGGACGGGTCCTAAGCCTGTGGGGTCTGCCACTAACTCCAGGTGGCTCATGCCAGACTTGAAGTGCAGTCCTCTTGCTCCAGGCTGGAATGGGGCCGTCACTTGGTCCCCTAGGGTCAGATGAAGGCGTTAGAGCCGCTCTGGGCTGCAGGGACATCTGGGCAGCAGGACACAGAACCGTCCCGAGCAGGGTCCGACCCGACCATGGCCTCTAGGCATCATTTCGTACTGACAGCAGACAGTGGATGCTACACCCTGTCCCACTCCTTCCGGGGGTAGCTCCTCCACAGCCAGGCTGATGGATTTCAGGACACAGAGAGCAGCCGCTCAGCACAGAATTGCACCCAGCACGTTCCTGGGGATCTGCTGACTTTCCCGTCCCACTCCCTGAAGCCACCAAACACGCCACGATCCGCCAGCTGGAGCCATCACAGCGTCCCCGCCTGCAGTCCATTCCCTTGTGTAAAATCAAGTCGCCTCGTTAAAACGCTTTTCCACCACACACGCAAACCCTGAGGCCCGTGTGGCGGGCGGGCGCGGCCTTACCTGGTAGTGGCAGGTGAGGTCTGTTTCGCTGTAGCACGGAGGCCCCTCAGGGGTCCTTCCTGGAACTTCTTGGGGTGGAGGGCTGCTGGAGAAGAGCAGGGTCAGCAGAAACAGCTTCAGGCTCTCAGAAATGGGTTTTCAACCTGAAGAAAAAGAAAAGAAAAATCATAAATGCTTTTGAAGTAAACATCCATTGTCTGACATAAAACAAGCATCGGTGTTAATAAACAAAAGAGGTCAGCTGTGAAGCCAATTGTCGCCACCAGGAATCCCGTCCCAGGGGAAGAAGAGGAACCGGTGGAGAAAAATCATTAGGACCCTTGTGCCCAACGGCGATTGTGCGCCTGGGCTGCGCCGCCCTCTGGTGCCCTCCCGCCAGCCCTCTTGACGCGGTGCCCCAACCCCAACAATTCTCTGACCCCACGGTGCTGGGCCCACATATCTTGTCTGATGTCCCCTCCTGCTCTCACGTGCCGCCTCACCCAGTTTAGATTCTGGGACCCACTGCTGCCATCACTCCTGCAACCCCCTTGTCCCTCTCTTTTTAAAAGATTCGCCAGGTGATGTCACTCTGCTGATGCATCCCTCCAACGGCATCCTATTTCACCGGAGGAAACATCCAGACTCGCTACAATGGCCTACGAGAGCTTGAACCCAGGTTTGGGGACTCTGAAGCTTACATGGTTTGGGGGGCTCTCTAAGAAAATAAGACAAGACGATGGATGCAACAATAAGATGCATGCTCTTGTACGGGGCTGTGGGTTCGCAGCTTCAAGGTCAATCCTCCTGTGCCCATGGGCCCCTAGGCAGCCCGGGCTCCTGCTGTGCCACTTTCCCCTCCTCCTACCATGCCTCCACCCCCCTGCCCCGCCCCAGGCCTTTACACCCGCTGCTTCTGCACAGATGCTCTTCCCTACGTAACTGGTGGTCTGCCCCTCCCTCCCTGGGGACTGTCCTATGGCACCCTTCCAGGAAGGCCGTCCTGGCCAAGAACACCCCATTCAAAAGGAACCCCATCCCACGGCGCTCCCTCCTCCTTTCCCCATGAACCTCCCCCAGGACTCGTCCGCTAGCACACAGATGCACTTATTTCCTGGGGCCTTCCTTCGCCCCACCCCATGCAAGCACCCTGAGGATGCACTTGGACCTGTTTTACTCAGCACTCCACCCCAGTGCCTGGAACACCCGGCACATAGTTGGAGCTCCCTTAGCATTTGTCGATCGAATGAACAAATGAAAGAATGGCCGAACCCCCACTTTCATTGCCCCGCCTTCACACTTTTGGGTCTATTTAGACCAGTGTCCCATTACCATTCTCCAGAGCGGGATTCCCAGGAAACAGAAGGGGCCGTGGTTTCTGGGTGCCTTGTGGCAGCGGCTGGTTGGGTTCTGTGGGGGTAAGAAGCACCCAGGCCTTGGAAGTCTTTCCCTTCTTGAGTTACTCCAACCTAGTATGTGTGCCATCAGGCAGACGGGGCACAAAGCCCTCGAGGAGAGCCATGCTGAGCAGCCTGGAGACACTGGCTTTGGGGCAGAGTCCTGAGATCAGGTGGGCCTGGGAGTGGGTGAGCTGTGCCCCCCTCACCCCCAGTGGAAAGTCTCCCAGTGGCGTGTCCCCAGAAATCTCACACTGGAGGTTAAAAAAAGAGAGAAAGAAAGAAAGGAAAAACTACCAGTTTGTTTCTTTCCCTAAAATCCAGTTTCTTAAGGGAGCACCACTCACATTATAAACGGCAGGGCCAACCTCACAGAGCGCCACCAACCGCAGAGAAATGCCCCAACACCATCTGCCTTTTCAGGGACCATCAGTGCCACACGCAGAGCCAGGAGCTGGGCATCCGAGGGGACAGGAAGAGCCCTGAGCTCCAAGAGGCCGCTGGTCAGTAAGAAGTGAGAGGGTGTGATCTGATTCTCCTAGGCCAGTGGGCAGATGCAGTGAGAGGGACGGCCAAGGGAGACGCCAGGGTAGAGGAGAAGGGGCTCCCCAGGGGGAGGGGACCCAGGTGGAGGAGGGTCCAGGTGGTGACCCCAGCTCTGGGGCAGAGAAGGCAGGTAGGCGGTATCTCTTAGAATAAGTGCTGATTCTCAGCAGGCAGCTCAAAAGGCCAGGGCTGGAATTCCCTTTGCACCAGACCCACTGGAACAGGAGCAACGTGGAGATGTGGATGCTGCCCAGCCAGCCACGCAGTCAGCGCCCCTGCGACCTAAACCCCAGGAGGAAAGTGACACAGGAAAGGGCGCAGACAGGGAGGGAGAGGGCAGGACGGGAAATTGAGAGGAGGCCCCACACTCCTGCGTCCCCAGCACACTGATCTTTATTTACGATTCCTGAAATCCAGGCCACCTTCTGCAGGGGCGAATGCCTTGCATTCCCCCACCCACAGGACCAGACGAGTGCACCTGGGCTGACTCTGCAGGCCGCATCGGGAGCCGCCCCCGTGGAGGGTCTTTCCATTTGTGGGTCCTGCACAGCCGGCCTGTCCCACGGCACCCACTTAGAGGTGGGAATGCAGAGACCGGGACAGGGTAGGGGTTGCTAGCCCTGTGTGCCCCCTCGCCCCCCAGCGAGCAGCCCCAACGCCTCCCAGGGCGGAGAGCTGGGGTCTGGGTGGGAGAGGAGGCCCCGCGGCCCCTCCTGGGCTGCTGGCTCGGGCCCATCGATCGGCCCAGCTTCATTTTGTTTTCCTCGACCAGAGCTGAACGGGAGATCATTTAACAGTTTGCCCCTGATTACAACGGCCCATTTTTCCTTCCTCCGCAGTAGGAAACACCATTCATCACCCATAGCACAGACCACGGCCCCGTGGCCCGGCGCCGCGTGCCCTGCACCCCTGCCCGGCCCCCCAGGTTTCTGGGACCACAGGGTTCATCCTGCCGGTGACCCTAGGCTTTCCGGTGGCCGGGGGAGGAGGGACTGAGGTGGGAGGCTAAAGGCCAAGCAGTGACGTCGCCAGGAAGCCCCTCTCAAGGCCCCCAAGTTTAGCTCCGGATAAAGCGAAGAGAAAAGGGAGAACAGAAGAAGAGCTGAGGGGCGCACTGCACCAGGTGCCCCCATCCCGCCAGCATCCCTCGGGCCCCAGGGACAGGGCCAGAGAGGAGCAGGGCCAGGATGGAGGAGCTGAGAGGGAGGAATGGCAGGCCCAAAAGCCCGCCCAGGGCCAGGAGGCCCAGGGTCAAGGCCACAGCCTCCTCTCCAGATTCCTGGGCAAAGGGGTGGATCTGTCCGGGAAGGGAACTGTGTCTTCCTCATTCCCGGAACCACATTTATTGCACCCCACTGTGTGCCAAGCGCGGTGCCAGGCACCTGCAGTTCCAGCCTTGGCAGGTGCACAGCCCAGCACAGGAGGCAGGCAGGGAGCCTCCAACTGTCGACCTTCGATCTCCAGCCTCCTTGCCCCACCCTGCAGGGAGGGGGGTGGGGAACTCTGAGCCCCATCCCGCATCCCCACCCCACTCACACTCCAGAACCACAGGGTGGAGGGGATGCAGAGGTTTGCTGTCGGCCAGGACTCATCCACACCCCTCCTGCACCTTCAGGATCCAACCCCCTTGCCTTAATGCTGGGGCCGTCACAATAATTTTGGGGTCCATGGAGGCTTAAGTTTCCCAAGAAAGCTGGACCTGGGTGGTGGGGGCCCCAGAAGGACGTGATACTAAGGGGGACCTGGAGCTGGAATATGCAAGGGGTGGTCCCGCCAGGGGTGGGTGCAGGTGGCTGGGCAGGAGTGCTGCCTCCAGGAAGGACTATAACACTCCCACCCCAACCCCCTCCAATAAATAAAGTGTCCCTGGCTGGGGGCCCAGCGCAGCCACTCCAGCCCACGGCAGCTGCTGAACCAACGCAGCTCCCGGCTCTGCTCCCACAGGGGCTGCCTTTGGGGTCCAGCCCCAAAAAGCCTCCTGTCAGACTCTTGCCACTGGGGAGTGAAGATAGAAAAATAAACACCTAGACTTCTAGAAAGTGTTTTCTGCAAAAAATAAGCCAACACACAAATGGGCACAGGCCCCGGGCAGTGGCTCCTGCCGGAACAGACCTCGTGGATGGTAAGGTCATCTGCGCACCCTCAAACTCCAGCCCTCCTGATGAGCAGTTACACAGCCCCTGGCCCTGCGGGGGACTTGCCCCACTCCCTTCTGAGGGCCCCTGTCCTCTGCCCCCTGCAGGGCTGGATCTGTCCTGAGGAGCTGTGCAGAGGGGCTGGCACAGGAGGCAGGGAGTGAGTTGGGAGGGGTGAGGACTTGGTCGAATGATTCTCATCATTGAAGCAGAACTGAACCTGGTCCCCTGAAGTCAAACCTGGTTGGTCTCTGCTCCCAGCTCAGTGTGGTACCCAGTGGATGCTTAGCCAATATCTCTTAAATGAACAAGGAAAAGAGGAAGAAGGAAGCCAAGTCTGGGTGAGCAGTATGCAGTTGAGTAATGCTTGTGATCTAAATTCCTAGCCGACCTGACAACCAACAAGTGGAATTAATTGTCATGACTTGGGTCCATCAGCAGGATGGTCTCTGATACCCAGAGGTGGGGGTGAGGGAGAATGACCTTCACGTTCTACAGGCGAACTAACTGAGCCCCCCAGAGACTCCTCACACTCACAGCTTCTCATGCAGAGAGAGGCCGAACAGCAAAACCTACATTCTGGATTTTCCCCCCAAAATCTCCAAAGAGAACGGCGCCCTTGGATCTCAGGACCCAAGGACAGGATGAGGGTGACAGCAGTCCTTTATACATGAAGGGCCATCTGAGGCAGTGGCTTACTGATGGGATGCGGCAACAGAGAGAAGCAGAGACGTGGCGAGCTGACGCGGAGCCCCTCGTTTTACTGCCCCTCCCTGGGCCCGCGGCGGGCACACCAGCAGGTTTCGGGTGTCAGACAACAGTGCCCCTCTGGGCAGACGTGGCCCCGCAAGTGCACGACTTGAACTCCAGAGCCATTGTCACTGGCTCAGGCGTCTGGGAACAAGGGGAACAGGGCACATACTACCCCGCTATCTGTGACAGCCTGGGCCACTTCCCTGGAGACCTCGGGGTGTGAAGAACTGTCAGCAGATTCTCCTCCAGCCCCATCGCTTACGGGCTGTGTGACCTGGGACCAGCTGAACATCCCGGATCCTTCCCCCCACATCCGCTCATACGAAGAGCCGA